GCTCTCAGAACTTCCTTCATTTGTTTCTCCAGTCCTTTAAAAACTGGTTAGCGCCTTACTTGTTGCTACTTAACCTTGAAGTTACTTTTAATTTAACAGAATAAGAATCTGATAATCTATCTCTATTAAGAAAACCGTTAGGCTACTAACCTGAAGATCAGCAGTTTGAACCCACCAGCTGCTTCCCTGGAGAAAGATGAGGCAGTCTGCTTCCATTAAGATTTACAGCCTTGGAAACCCTATGGAGCAGTTCTACTCTGTCCTGTAGGGTCACTATGAGTCAGAATTGACTCAGTGGCAATGGGTTGGGTTGGGTTTAGTTTATTAAGAAAAGAATGAACAAGCAACCCTGGGGAAAAGTTTCAGATTGCAGAAGCATATACTAAAGTTTATCAATGGACTTTAAACTATATTGGATAACATGCATGATATTGAGGTTTTACAACTAATATTCTAGGTACTGAATAGCTAGGATACCTAGTGACTGGATAACGGAGAATGCCTAGGTTTGGTAATAAATTTATGTTTTCAAGTTGTTGCTCATAGAACGTTGTTGTTAGGTGCTGTTGAGTAAGCTCTGACTCAAAGTGACCCTGTATATAACAGAACAAAACAGTTCTGTGATCAGCACTGTTGTGTGCCATCCTTGTCCAGTGAAAACCTTGTGAACAGCAGTGAAACACTGTCTGATATATAGAAATCTACCATGTTGTTGTTGTTATGTGCCGTCAAGTCGAACCCGACTCAGTGACCCCTCCTTGGGTTTCCGAGGCAGTATCGCTACGGAAGTAGATTGCCCAACCTTCCTTCGGAGGAGTGGCTGGTGGGTTTGAACCGCCAGCCTTCTGGTTAGCAGTCAAGTGCCTTAGGCACTACGCTACCAAAGCTCCCTGTTGTTGTTGTTGCTGTTATGTGCCATCGAGTCAAACCCGACTCATAGCGACCCCTCCTTGGGTTTCCGAGGCAGTATCACTACGGAAGTAGGATTGCCCAACCTTCCTTCCGTGGAGTGGCTGGTGGGTTTGAACCGCCAGCCGTCTGGTTAGCAGGCAAGTGTCTTAGCCACTATGCTACCAGAGCTCCCAAAGCTCCCTAGTACATGTTAAATTAAATTCCATGTTCTGAAATTTTTATGTAACAGTATGATCATCTTTATTGTTGTTGGGAAAAAAGTTACGTAGGCTCATTAGCACACTTTCATGATTTTACTTGTAACTAAATTAAATTCATTTGTTCATACTTGCATTTAACAAGGTTAAAGTGTCATGTTGTGATAATAGTTACAAAAACTATAAAGTCCAATATGAGGGGATAGCAAAGGACAGCTGTGTGCTGTTATAGTGAGAGGGGAAGCCTTTAGAAGGATTTAACCAGAAGAGTGACGTGTATATTTATACACACATATATATGTATGTATGTGTTTTCATGTATATATATGTATATATATATGTATACACACATACATACTTGTGTGTGTGTGTGTGTGTGTATACAGGAGCTCTGGTGGTATGGTGGATAAGGCATTTTTCTGCTAACCATAAGGTCGGTGATTCAAACCCACCAGCTGCTCTGCAGAAGGAAGATGGGGCATTCCGCTTCCATAAAGATGTACAGCCTTGGAAACCCAGTGTGTGTGGGGGGGTCACTGTAAGTCAGAATTGGCTTGATGGCATTGAGTTTGGAGTTTTTGGTATAGAAGTTCTGGTGGCACAGTGCCACCAGAGTTCAAACCCACCAGGAAGTTGGGGCAATCTGCTTCCATAAGGATCTACTGACTTGGAAACCCAATGGGGGTTGCTATGAGGGGAAATCGACTTGATGGCAGTGAGTTTGGAATATATCTTTTAAAAAAAAAAAAACACACTGCCATCGAGTTGGATCCGGCTCATAGCGACCCCTCCTTAGGTTTCCGAGGCAGTATCACTACGGAAGTAGACTGGCCACCCTTCCTTCCAAGGAGTGGCTGGTGGGTTTGAACCGCCAGCATGCTGGTTAACAGTTACATGCTGTAGGCACTACACCACCAGTGCTCCCTTGGAATATGAATACACATACATGTATGAAGGAGCTCTGGTGACTTAGTTTAAGATTGGGCAATCTGCTTACGTAAAAGATTTACAGCCTCAGAAACCCAGTGGGGTTCACTGTGAGTTGGAAACGACTTGATGGCAGTGTTTTTTTTTTTTAATGTGTGTTCACACATATATATACATATATATGTACATATATATATGTATGTATATATACACCTGCGTGCGCATGTATACAATTTAGAAAGTTAAAGTTGTCTTACTGTTATTTTAAAAAGGTGTTGATGCTTATCTACTATATTTAGCTCTGAACAAATGGAGAAATCCAAGGAAATACTAGGCTTGCTTCTGGATTTTAAAAGTTTTGTAATGAATAGACATTAAAATCATGCTAAAATATAAAAGTATTTAGAACTCTGAGGAGATAAGCACAGAGTCCTTGGATGGCACAAATGGTTAAGCACGTAGCTACTAACCAGGTTTCTAGGAAGAAAGGGCTGGCGGTAATCTACTTCCAGCGGTTCTCAGCCATTGACTATCCTGTGAACACAGTTCCAGTTATAGGTCATCATGGGTCAGAATCTACTTGACAATAGCAGGTTTTGTTTCTTGGAGATAAACATGGTGTGGAGGGTTTCTAAAATAATTGAAACCACTGGTACCAGATTCATACAGGCACTAAACAGCTTTGTATAACTCCAGCAGAGATTATAAACTGGGCAACAAGGGATATATAGTGGGCAGAGACCAAAGAAAAAAACAGAAAAATGCACAGACTTTTAATCATAGCAGTGTGGTCATGGTTTCATAGGTATTATTGGTCAAAACTTCAGACATACCATCTCAGAAACAACTAATAGAACAGACTTTTGTTTGCTTGCTAAGTCCAATGATGAGATTATTAAAAGAAGAATTAAGCCATAAACTTATGATGAGTTTATTATTTTTTCGTAAAATAATATTGCTCAGACACTGTATCTAATCTGAAAACCAGAAGGCTGGTGGTTCAAATCCACCAGCCACTCCTCAGAAGGAAGGTTGGGCAATCTACTTCGGTCATGATACTGCCTCAGAAACCCATCGAGGGGGAGGGGTCGCTATGAGTCAGGTCCTACTGGACAGCACGTAACAACAACGGTAATTAGAATATCTGATTTCTGATGTAGCCTTGGGTTTGTACATAGTGGAAAAAAAGGTATTGGAGGAGCCTCTGTTTTTGAGGAATTTCAAATACTTGCTAAACAATATCAGATAGCTTTTAAAAGTTTAGTTTTATACTCTAAATTTTGGTCCCATTCCTCATTTAAAATATGTGGTCACTAGTCATAAGTGGTATGGACTGTTGAAAGAATGTAAGGGAACATAGGTGAATATGCTGTTAGCATAACACCTAGATATAACTTTAAATTAGCTGTTGATGTTTACTTGTTTCTAAGTTAAATTTGAAAATTGGGAAGTAGAAACCTTCAGTATAAGGACTAAATTCTTAGTTTGTATAACTTATTCCAAGATTCTTTAGATGCTTTTTAAAAAACTGTACTGATATCCAACATTCTGACTGAAATATTTCAGAGTTCAGAGAATTTTCATACAGTTTTTGTCTGTCAGGTTAGCTGTGCCTTCCTGTATGCTTTTTTTTTTAAACAGAAAGATACCTTTATTCATGGTTTAAAAGATTTAATATCATTAAGATATCAATATTGCCCATAGTGATCTATAGATTCAATGTAATCCCTATCAAAATTCTTTTTTTTTTTTTAATTTTATTTTGATTTGGGTGAAGATTTACAGAGTAAATTCACTTTTCATACAGCAGTTCACATATACTTTGTCTCATGTCATTGACCAAAATTTACAATGCAACAGCTCCCCTCCCACTTCCTCCCCATGGTTACCTTTTTTTTTTTTTTTTTAAAAAAAGCAGTCTACCTTGTGTACTTTTAAAAAATCTTGTATATTAAATGTAGTACTCAAGACGTGTTTCTTACAAGCTCTTTCCTCATTTTAATCTTGTTTATGAACTTGTGGCTGAATGTGTATTAACTATTATTGACATTCATTATGTAAGACAGTGACCATAATAAAGTAGTTCTCTCTACTTGAATTCATTAACCTGTCTTTTCCAACAGAGTTTAGTGATTTTCGTATAAATTTCTGTGCAGAAGCTATAATCAGCCCCAAACCCATTGCCATCCAATTGAATTGTGACTCAGCAACCCTATAGGACAGAGTAGAAGTACTCTATAGGGTCTCCAAGGCTGCAGGTCTTCAGGAAGCAGACTGCCGCATCTTTCACCTGTGGAGTGGCTGGTGGGTTCCTATAAAGAAGTTACAGGGTCTTAATTTTGAGGTGCAGATTATTCTATGGTGTGGAATTCCATAGTGGAGGGATATTTTCATTAAGCTATAATCATATAAACATAGAGCCAGTGTGTGGTGATGGATTTCCATGGTGCTGCAAAAGGAGGGGCTTAGCAACCGGTGCTTCTTCCCTGTAGCCCTCCAGAGAATCCTGGGATGCTTCCTGTCTGATGTTAGTATCTGGCTTCAACACAGAGCTGTCGCTTCTGCTTCAGGATTTGTCTTTCATGAGGGGTGGTTGTCAGAATATGTTGAAAAATTATATTTCTCTTGACCCTTTGTCACCAAAACCAACAATAAAGTTAATGGGTAGGAAAGCACGGCACCATCCAAAAGGATTTTGGAAAATGATCTAGTGACCATAGTAATGTGAGATGTTAGCAAAAGGGAAACTGAGTGTGAGGTGCGTGGGAACTCATTACACTATCTTCAGTGTAAAGCTGTTCTAAAATAAAAAGTTTATTTAAATTAAAAAAATATCCTAATGATTTGAACATAACTTAGTTCAATTTCAATAATACTGTTTTGAAAGTGCCGACAGTTTTTGTTCCTACCGTAACTGAATCAGTTGAACCTCTTCTTCCTTTTTTCTTTTTTTTTTAAGATTTCAAGATGACCAACGAAGAACCTCTTCCCAAAAAGGTATGTTCTTTTTTTTTTTTTTTTAATGTTACAATTTGACTGCTAACCAGCCACTTCTCGGAAGGAAGATTGGGCAATCTACTTCCGTAGTGATACTGCTTTGGAAACCCAAGGAGGGGTCGCTATGAGTCAGATCAGACCCGATGTCAGTGAGTTTTAATAGAGTTGAAGGAACTAACTATCTTCTTTGTTTATTGTTCACCTATTACCTTTAACAGTAATAGCATTATGAGTTTACACAGTGAACTAGAAATTGCATCCTGTATGCCATATATTTGTAGAATATTTTCAGCTCTTGAAAAACCTGCTATAGTGATATTCTCGTGATCTACTTAGTCTTCATTATGCAGATAATTTCATGTGCATATCTACAAATTATGCCAGTAAAGGACACTATCACTGGTTCTTATAAACTACTCCTTTGCCCCCTTAATTTAAATCCAAACCCACTTACTGTTTTCAAGAAAAGATCACGACTAATTACTTACCTTGCTGTTTTTAGCTGCCGTAGAGTTGACCCTCAACTCCTGGCAACCCGTGCAAGCGGGATGGGAGTGGTATGGTGTGATCCAGAGTCTTTATCTTTTCTGTTGTTTTATTTTCTATTCCCATTTTCCTGTGCTCTACATCCCGACATAAATAAAGTTTAGTCACTAATAAATACCTGTGTGTGTGTGTACGCTAAAAACAAAGTCCAAACCTGTGGCCAGTTCCAACTCACAGTGATCATATAGGATAGAGTAGAGCTGCCCCATAAGGTTTCTGCTTTACAGAAGCAGACTGTCACATCTTTCTCCTGAGGAACGGCTGATGAGTTCGAACCACCAACCTTTCAGCTAACAGCCATGCATGCACTTAGCCACTGCACCATCAGGGCTCCCTGTATGAACAGACCCATTACTGTCGAGTTGATTCCAACTCACAGTGACCCCGGTTGGGTTCCAAGGCTATAAATCTTTTGGATGTAGCTTGCCTCCTTTTCCTTCTGTAGGGCAGCTGGTGAGCTTGAACTGCTTACCTTCTGGTTAACAGCTAAATGCCTTACCAGCTACACCATCAGAGCTTGTTTAGTTAAAACAAAGGAGGTTAGAAATAAAGTGACATCATTTCTCAGAGGAATTTGTAACTCAGTTGGGAGAACAGGGTTTATGCTTACTACACAGTTAACTATTTAAGTGAACAGTTTAGATAAGTGTATGAAAATTATCTTAGATTTTAGTTTAAAATTATCTTAAATCGTGAAATGAGTAAAGAATTGTGTTTTAGTAATCTGAGAATTTCTGTATGCTTTCTCTGTTAGTCTTTTAATATATTCTGGTATAAAGGTTTATCTTCTCTGATTTTATGATAATATTATTACTGGTTAATCTACAGTTTGAAACATGTTTATAAGGAGAAAAATTTTATGCATCTTTTAGAGAAACTAATAAAGCCTTAATTTTAAACTAAAGTGAAACTGTCCCCTTTGCAATCTTCATTTGGTTTAGGGAAAACACTTAGTATTTCCCAATTTATAAGGCAGTTGCAGTCATCTGGAATATTATGCCTGTTTTGAATAACTTATTTTGACATAATTAATAGATTCACAGAGAGTTAGAAGGAAATGTATAAGAAGGTCCTGTGCACCCCTTTCTGGCCTCCCCTAATGTTACCATCTCGCTTAACTGTCACACATCTGCATAAGTGTTAACAGTTTCAGAACTCCAGGAAGTTGACATTGGTACAATCTAAAGTTTGTTCAGATTTTGAGAGTCCATAGGTGGCCAAGCATGCAACTCTCAATCAAAGGATCAATGGTTCAGACCCACTCGGGTGCCTCAGAAGATAGGCCTGGTGATCTGCTTCTGAAAGGTCTTCTCCTCGAATACCCTGTGGCGGAGCTCTGCTGTGCACATAGAGGGTCGCCATGAGTTGGAATCAGCAGCAGCTAACTATTCAGATGCGACCAAATGCATCTTGTATGTGTAGCACTATACAGTTTTATCACATGTGTAGCTTTGTGTAACCACCACCACCATCAATGCTTATTTGAGCCATCACTCAAGGCTCCTTTGTGCCACCCTCTCCCTTCTATCCCCAACCCCTGGCAACCACTGATCTGCTCTTTATAATTATGTTATTTCATGAGTGTTAATAAATGAAACCATCCAGTATGTATCCTTTTAAGATTGGCTTTGTTCACTCAGTATAATTTCCTTGAAGTTCATCCAAATGATCACGTGTATCAGGAGTCTGCAGGTACCCTCCCCCACTTTTTGAAAGTTTACTTTAAGCCGCTTCACTTTTACAGGGGACCTATATTATTAGTACTTCCTTCTGCTAATTTCTGAAAGAAATCCGAAAAGGATTTTCGCTTACATAGGAAAAAAAAAAAAAAGGCAAAAAGTGAAGCTAGCATTCAGCCTTTGTTTTGTGGCAAGGTATCGGGTACCCCCAGCAGCAAGAGTGACATCGCCAAGCTCCTTCCAGGAACTACACTCAGCATGTTGGCATCAAGCTGCCCTGTCTTTGAACTTGGCTATGGACACTGTAGTAGGAGCCCTGGTGGTGCAGAGGTTAAAGCACTCAGTTGCCAGCCAGAGGGTGGGTGGTTCAAACCCTCCAGCCACTCTGTGGGAGAAAGATGTGACAGTCTGTATCTGTAAAGATTCACAGCCTAGGAAACCCTACGGGGGCATTTCTGTTCTGTCCTATAGGGTTGCTGTGAGTTGGAATCTATTCAGTGGCAATGGGATTGGTTATTAATTTTTTTTAGAGTTCTTATTCTTCTCTATCAAAATCTCTGATACTCGAAGCTCATTAATTCCTCTCAGAATTCATCTAGCCATTAAAACCATTGAGCCAGAAGTGTGACAAGACTTTTTAGAATTTGTCTGTTAGTTGCTTAAGTCAGACTTGAGATGGTCCCCAGGTTTATGTTACATTAGGTTTTACGTGTTACTTAGTATCATTTGTTAGGTTACTTTTTGAGGCCTGAGGATGCTTAGAAACTTCTCGCATATAAATCAGTGGTATTTTTGCTTCTTTGCTTTATGCCCTTTCCGCTCACAAAAGGTTTCGTAGGAATACTGTACTTTTGGATAGCAGGAGAAACCTGTATTTATTTACTGAGCTTCACAGTAAGTATCCTATGGTATGGCCCAACCATTGTTTGTTGTACCATTCACCTGTTGAAGGACATTTGGGTAGTTCCCAGTTTTTAGCTATTACAAATGAAGCTGTTGTGAACATTGGTCTACAAAGTTTCTATGTGAAAGTAAGTTTTCATTTCTTTGGGATAAATGCTTAAGAATGCTGGATGGTAAGATGTATCTATTTTTAGTTTTAAAAGGTGCTGTCAGACTGTTTTTCAGATTGGCTGAACCATTTTATATTCCTACCAGCAATGTGGTAGCATAGTGGCTAAAGCACTTGACTGCTAACCAGAAGGCTGGCAGTTCAAACCCACCAGCCACTCCTCGGAAGGAAGGTTGGGCAATCCTACTTCCATAGTGATGGGAGCTCTGGTAGCATAGTGGCTAAGGCACTTGACTGCTAACCAGAAGGCTGACGGTTCAAACCCACCAGCCGCTCCTCGGAAGGAAGGTTGGGCAATCCTACGTCCGTAGTGATACTGCCTAGGAAACCCAAGGAGGGGTCCGTAGTGATACTGCCTCGGAAACCCAAGGAGGGGTCGGTATGAGTCAGGGCTGACTTGACGGCACATAACAACAACAACAACAACTTCCATAGTGATACTGCCTCAGAAACCCAAGGAGTGGTCGCTATGAGTCAGGGCCAACTCGACGGCACATAACAACAACAACCACAACCAGCAATGTATTGAGAGTTTCTCCACTTCCTTCCAGCATTTGATGTTCAACAACAGTTGAAATAGTCACCACTATTTTTCTATTTCAGCCATTCTGAGGATCCTGTAGTGATACCGTGTTGGAGTTTTAATTTGCATTTTCCTGATAAAGATGCCCATTTTTAAGATAACAAATAGTTCACCTTCTAGGTTTTTTTTTTTTTTTTTTTTAAATAATATGTAATGAGTCATATAAGTCTCAGACTCTAGGACAGTTCATATATTTCAAGTACAGAGCTCCTTTTCAGATAATGGCATCTGGCAATTGAGGGATTAAAAATCATGATACTGAAACACCAAGTGTGCTGGCAAGGTTAAGGAGAAACTTTAACCTTTATCCATTGCCAGTGCGATGTAAAATAGTGCAACCACTGTTAAAAACAGCTTGGTGGTTCTTCAAAAAGCTGAAGTTAGAATGATCATGTGACCCATCAAGAATGATCTTATGACCCATTGATCCTAGTCCTACGTTTGTACCCTGTAGAAGTGAAGGCAGGAGCACAAACCAGAAACCTGTATACCAGTGTTCAGAACAGTACTTTTCACAATAGCCAAAGGGTAGTAACAACTGAAATATTCAACAACAGACAAATGGACAAAAGAAATATGGTATGTACATACCATATGCAGCTGTAAGAAGTTCTGATGCAGGCCACAACATGGCTGAGCCTTGAAAAATGCAAACAGTGTGCTAAGAGAAGCCAGCAGTCACAGAAGGACAGGTCCAGGACCTCATGAAATATGCTGATACACAGAAACCAGAATTATTAATGGTTGGGGGGGGGGGTTTCTATTTAGGACCATTGAGTTTATGTTAACGGAATTGGAATGTTTTGGCAAAGGATAACGATAATGGTGGCACAACATGAGAAGTACAAGTAACGCGAAACATTGTGAATGTGGAAGTTGTATTGGTGGGTGTTTTGGTGTGTCCACAAGAAAAAAGGAAAGGTAACGGTCCTGTCTTCATAAAAATACAGAGTGTAAATGTTAGCATTTGAATATTGGAAATTTTTAGGAAGACGGACACTCCATGTTTTAATTTTCCTCTTTATAGGTTCGACTTAGTGAAACAGACTTCAAAGTTATGGCACGAGATGAGTTAATTCTAAGGTAAATTGTTCTTTTATCAGAAATATGAAAACCTTTCTGTAGAGCATTATATTCTGATTATATTATATTTGTCTTTGTTTTGTTTGTAATGTTAATACAGCTTCCAGTCATGTAGTATGCGTTTTGAACATTTCCTACGACCTGTTTCTTCATTGTGTAAACACTGAGGAAAACATGACACTGCAGAACTGAAGCACTAGTTTGGGTAACTTCTAGACTGCCAGGGTGCCTGAATTTTTTCTTATAGAAACAAAATGGTCGGGATTTTTACTTGAAGGGCATTTGTACTTCATGTGTGCAACTTGCTCTGGGGAACAGCAGGTGTATCATCTTACGAACACCTTGCACTCGGGAGACATTCAGCTACACACATTTATAGACTAGTTGTCATGTTGATGTCCTGAAGAATATAGTTGTAGTTAGGAAGAAATAAATTATTTACTAATGAAATGTAAAGAATTTCTCAGCTTTTTTAACTCACTCCAGTGTTCTGTACTTTCTCATCTGTAAATTAAAAAATAAAAAGAGTTGCATTAAATTATTTTTAAGGATTTCTTCCAGTTCTGGATTTATTTGGTGATCTTATAAATGTCTTCCAAAACCGAACTGTCAAGGATAGCGTTGCAGTGTTTATTTTTGAGTGTAAAGAATCAGAAGTTTATGTTTTGAAACGTAAATAAATTTTTTGCATTTTATTACATGGTTGGTAAGCCCTTTTTTGGCTGGGGGGGTTGGTAAGCTTTTTACATGGTAACTTTTAGATTAAAATAAAATGAATAATTTTCAAGGCAACCTTTGTAAAGTTAGTGAACTCTGTATTGCTTCTAGAAATTTCAAGTAATTTTTATGTGAAAAACTAAGCAAATTTAACAGACTGAAAGTAGGAGAGAGAAAAAGTATTTTGTAAAATAGGGAGATGAGAAGATGACATGTTTCATTGTTTGCTAAAGTCTAAACACCTCCCACCCTCACTGAGATTTAGCTACTCTATCTTCCTTTGTCATAATTTCATGCCTAGGGCAGTTTTTCATTGCCTACTTTTTTATTTTGGGCATAAAATTTCAATCCTTAGTACTCTGCAACACCCTTGTTCTCTTGCGGAGGTTGAAGCCTGCCTGAGACAAGCCTGTGACATGACATGGCTGCCACTCACTTGTCGAAGTTCTTTTTGTACCTCTCATATGGTGCACTCCTTGTCTTTTTTCCTTGAATTCTTCTGGTAGCCTGTGCCATCTTTTTCTTGATTTAACTCTAGGGAGAATAATAAGTACTATAATCTTCCTGAAAAAAATCACAGTAGCAAAAGTAAGGTACCTTTCAGGATTCTTTATCCTGTGCATTTTATATACTTGAGGCTGCTTTTAACTTCTCTCTTTGGGAAATTCTCATTTAAGACTTGTAGGTGATTTCACACACACACACACACACACACACACCCCATTTCCTTGGTGATTTTACATCAACTGCTGCTTCTTTAACTAGTCTGTGTTTTCATTCCTCTTGATGCAGATGTTCTTGGTTATATTTTTCTGTTCTTCTAAAACAAATAGTTCTAAGGAACCTCCATAAAAGGACTTCATTCATCCCCAGATGTTTAAGGCGCCCCTAGGTGAGAGGGGCCATAGAAAGCAACATGCCCTTGGCTGAGTAGCGAGCCAAGTACAGGAAGGTGGGTTTGCTCAGTGTGTTAGGAAATACTTTCTTTTGTTCATTATGTGGTCATGTTAATAAAACTCATAGCAAACCTGTCAGTGTTTTTAATGTTTTAAAATTATAACAAGTTTTTCTGAAATTGAAAATTTTGATTAGCTGTAACTGAAGAGCAGCTTGAAAAAGTAGCTTTGAAGTAGGAGAGCACTCACTCAGGGCAGGGTGCTCTCCAGGAGCAGTTATTGAAACAGAAGACTGGGGAGGGCTTCTCTTCACCTGCAGTAAATGCCAGGAACAGCTTGGCCATCAATAACGGTAAAGAGACGGAATGAAGGAAGTTCGCCTCGTACCCTGATGACATGGAGGCTATGCAGGCTGTTTCTGCCAGTTGGATATGGTTGAAAAAATACTCTTGAAAGCAATTTTATTCTCTCTCCTGTACTTAAAAATACTTTTTTTGGAGAGTTGTGTGGTATTTTCATAGAAGAGCTGAGAGAGCACCCGTAGTCTCGTCTGATGAGGACCATTCCTTACACACCTCTGGTTTAGGTGGCCAGCGTACCTGTCGATAATAATAGGTTGTTGGTTTTTTTTTTTTTTTTTTTTTTTTTTTAAGCAGTAAGGTTTGATTCCTCCTCGTGTGTATTGCAGGCTTTGACTCAGCATCAGTGACAGAAAGTGAATGAGGCAGGTCATGTGACCCAAGGAGCTCAGTTGGTGCACTCTCAGCACAGGCCACTTTTCTCCGTGCATCTCCTTTTACTCATCCCCTGTAAATGGAGAAGGAATACTAGAGCAACTAAATTTTTATTGGTTAAACTAGATGGGTAATAAGCATCTCAGAATTGGAAGAAACCTTAAAAATCATCCATGGAGTTCTCAGGATTACGTTCATGGGTGTGATTTTCTGTTAGTAGAAGGAATTTTGCTACTGACGTGCACATTTATTTTTGCACTAGATGGAAGCAGTACGAAACATACGTGCAGGCTCTGGAGGGCAAGTACACAGACCTGAACTGTAAGTGTATCTGCGTTGTAGCTGCCTGGGACTGTGAATCATCTACAGTTAGATGTTGTTGTTAACACCGGGTTGGTTTTACTAAAGTAAATGGAATTTTTATCTAAGTGTTTTCTTAAAAATTATGTCCAGGAACTGTTGGATACTGGGAAATATCTAGACAAATGACATGCTCTCCCCACTGGAGGAGTTCAGTCACCAGGCAAGACTGCGTGGAATAGACATGTGAGGAGCAGACTACTCTAGCAGAATTGTGTACAGGGTTCTGATAGCAGAGATCACAACACTAGATCTGTCCCTAATCTCTTCTGTAGAGGAATTTGAACTGAGAATCTAGAAGGGGCATCTGTAGAAAAGCAGTAATGAGTTTTTGAGTACTAAAATTGTGAAATTAGGATATACTGATACATTTACAGGTTTCTCAAAATCTGCTAAAAATCATACTCGCAAAGTTTATAATTTCAAATTGTTGTATGTTGTCACTTTTCACTGAGTTAGATAACGTGTTGTTTGTTAGTATAGAAGCAAATACAGTTTTCCAGGTCCAGAAAGCTTTAATATTATTAGATTTTTTTATTGTGATTTGGGTCAAAGTTTACAGAGCAAATTAATTTTCCGTATAGCAGTTCATACAGTTTTTGTTTCATGACATTGATTGCCGTCGCCATAATGTAGGAAAGAGCTCTCTTCCCATTTCCTCCTATGGTTACTTTTTCCCTGTTTCTTTCTCAGAAAGCGTTTTTAATATCTCAAAATTTCCACTAAATACATGACTAAGTTATAATCTGTACAAGTTAAGAAGACTATGAAATTTTAGGGTAATTGTCAATGCAGTTACCAGCATTTTTATATTGAATAGGTTAGTAACACATACACTAAACAGAATTTTGTTAATTTAGAGTTTGAACATGTAAATAAAGTTTTTTGTATTCTGTTGGGAATTAATTAAACCAGGAAAATGTAATTCAGTCTCATGTTTGGTTGTGGGCCACTATAACTTCCTTGCCTCATTCTCATGATTGGGAACTGAGTTCCTTGTTACAAAATTGGTTGGGATTAGAAATTAGAAACTAAAGACTTAATGGTGAAATTTTTTGACCCTGGTTTTTAATATTCTTGACACAAGCAGTTAGAATTTCCTTAGGCTTTTGTTTAGTTCAGTTTGATCTGGAAATTACATTTCATGATATTTTGGAATTCTTTCCTTTATCATCAGCTAACGATGTAACTGGCTTAAGGGAGTCTGAAGAGAAACTGAAGCAGCAGCAGCAGGAGTCTGCACGCAGGGAAAACATCCTTGTGATGAGACTGGCAACCAAGGAGCAGGAGATGCAAGAGTGTACTGTAAGTATCTCAGGGCTTTAGCTGAAGAAGTGGCTTTTCACCCACGTTATTACATGTTAACTTTATATACTTCGTAACTATATAAGGCCATATTTTGTTGAGGCTATGCACTTTGAGTTGTAGATATGCTAAATTTTGGTAGATAGCATCTCATCATTTGGATTTAAAAACTTTAAGTTCTTCCCTGAAATGTCCATACTTCATGAGGATTAGTGAATTAATCCCAGTATATTGCAGCTGGCTACATTTCCGGGAGTATAAGCAATAGCATCTGCACCTTTCTGCTTTCCACACTATCTAGGCAAGGCCTCTGATTAATGTCTCTCCTCATCTCTTGACCCTTCTACACATAACACCGTTTTCCTGGTATCAGCAACTTCTGTGTCTTTTTGTTAGAGCTTTCGTTTGTATTGATTACCATGTTGACAAACTAAATCTAAGTGACATTTATCTAGTTTTGGTTTGAATTTAAGCTCAACTTTATCTTTGACAGTCTTACTCATTCTTTATCTAATTATGTATATATGTAAGTTAGAACCCCCAAAATGAGCAGCAACTCTATCCCTGTTTTAGCTAATTCTTAAAGCTGACATTTTCTTTAATAACTCTTGTGTAGTCAAGCTTCCGTTCAGAATGGGTTAAAAATCTCACATGTGAGATATTATTCTGGTCATGGGACACATGATAATATACAAAACACACTTCTGTCCTGTCACCCATCCCCACTGTTGGCCTTTTTGCGGGGGGGGCAGGGGGAGTGCCTGGACACTTGCTTCCTAGCAGTGCTACCAATGTTGTTGTTGTTGTTAAGAGCCGTCGAGTCGTTTCCGACTCATAGCGACCCCATGCACAGCAGAACGAAACACTGCCCGATCCCG